AGACGTTTGACTTTTCCCAGAACATCACCTGATGCTGCAATCTATTCAATCCACCTTCAAAGACCTGAAGACTGCAGCCACTACACCAACAAAATCAGCAAAGAAAAGCTCGACGAATTCAATGATGTAGTCCGAAATTTGCCTGAAGGAATCACCTTTGCTAGAGCTTGCAAGGACTTCATGATAGGCCATTACATCTGTGAGAGCAAGGAATCAATCCCTGAGATAGAAGACTTGTTCAATCATGCCTGAAGAGGTAAACCTGTTCGAACACTTCACAAAATCTAAGGTGTAGGTCAGTTTCTTATCTCTTGTTCTATTAGAGGAGAAATGTTTAAAAACGTCTTTGTGATTCTGGAGCTTGTCTTAACATGATGTCCAAGGCAATTGCTTTGAGACTTGGTATTAAAAACCTGCGCAGGACTAGAGCAAAGATTAGTCTAGCTGATGATTTCAATGTAACACCTCAAGGAATAGCTCATGAAATTCCTTTGAGAATAGGAGATTGCATAGTGCTTGTCGACTTCTACATTGTCGAAACGAGAGACGCAACATATCCAGTGATTCTCGAATGGTCTTTTCTAGCAACTTCTAGAGCTATAACGGACTGGCCAAACCGGAGGATTTCATTTGCTAATATCGACAAAGATGTCTTCACAGAAGCTGTCCCATACAACAGCAAAACAGGAAAACGTTCTGCAACAGAAGAGTTTGAAGAAGAATTTTGGAGCGACGAAGAACCTACTAAGAAAAGCAAGGAGATGTCGAAAAAGACTTGTCTCAGGACAAGGTCCTCTTCATTGGACTAAGCCACGTCCAACACCAAAAGTCGAACTAAACGACTTAAAACATAAGCGCTTAATGGGAGGCAACCCATTTAGGTATTGTTTTCTTTAGGATTTTTCTTTCTTTTTCTTTTGATCTTTTTCTTTTTCTTAGTTTCAGGTGTTTCTTATAAAACAAAAAGCCAAAAAAATAAAAAAAACCCGAAAAAACCAAAAAAAAGGATGGTCCCTGACTACTCGGCCCAGCAGGAACCGAGGAGAAGCAGGAACATGCCGCAAGATAAGCCCCCGCGGTCGCAGGTGTTCTGACCGCAGGAAACGTATGGTCGACCACGGCCGCGTCTTCCTGACCGCGGCCGCGTCTTCCTGACCGCGGCCGAGCACCGGTTTGCCACGGTCGCGTGGCTCCTGACCGCGGCAAATGGTCGTTGAGATCAAACCCGACCCAAAACCACTCACTTCACCTCATTCCACCTCACCAATCCCCACTCCACCTCATTCATCACCCTCCACCACCTTCATCACCACCTATCACCTTCCCAAACCTCTTCGAATGAATCCAGTTCATTTCCACCAGCATCCCAGATCCAGGTAAGTTCTCTTTGGCCTTACCAATTCGATTATATATGCATTTTTCTCATCCAATCTCGACTTGTTTCACACTGAGGACAGTGTGATTTAAGTCTGGGGGAGGATTTCATCCCTTTCTAACCACTTTTCTTTCATGAGTCTTGCATTATCTATACTTTTTGCATTTTCCTTAAAGTTTTTCAAAACCGGTTTTCAAAACAAAATACGTTTTAAAAGGGAATGGTGAACATGAATGAATGATAGTTGACTGTGTGCTCTTAGACTGTTCCTAGTGACGTGCTCATTCATGATTTAGGATTAGACTAGGCGGTATCTAAGCACATTTGAAACGAAGTACCTCAGAGGAATTTGAATGATTTCGATTTAGATGAAGGGATACACTAGCTCTGTTTTATTTGGACTTAATTTGGACTTAACTTTCTCATTGAAGCATTAGACCAGGGAAACGAATCATACATTCAGGACTCCTTTATCTTTTTACCACTCTATGTTGATCCTGAATGGCTAGTTCATCTTTAGCTAGTTCTCCACCTTAACCAATCCTCTTTCAAACCACATGCACTCTTGTTTTCTATTGTCTTATATGCAGATAAGTGCAAAAACGTTGGAGAGAAAGAGGAACAACGCAGTTTTCAGTCACCAAGGACAGAGACCTGCGATTTGCCGGAAAAGTTCCGGAAAGATTCAACACAAGAGGAAGCTCAGTTTGCCTTAGAAAAAACTCAAATTTTGGTACAATCTCGTCCTCTAGTCTCTCTCTCTTTAAAAGGCATTTCCTACTAAAAAAAAAAAATCCGAAAATAAGAAAAGAAAGGAAATAAAAGCCTTGGAGAGTCTAGAGAGATCGAATTTTAAGTCCCAAGTCAACTGGAGTTCGGTTTTATGGAGTTTTAGAGATCATTTTCTGATTCCCGGAAAGAATCTAAGTCTGGGGGAATAGTTGTTTACAACAAAGGAGGAAGGATTATGTAACAACATTTGGCAAGAAGAAGTGACTGAAAATTGTGGTCATCAACATGTCCTTATCTCTCTTGCGGTTTTGCATATTATCTTGCATCCTCCAGATCTTCAGGTAACCCGAAACACTTTAACTCCACCATTTAAACTGCCCTTTAATGCCAAACGCCGTCTACCCTGGATGATGTCTTTAATGAGAACTCACTATCGAACTTAATGAATGTAGAGAGCTAGTTGACTGGAATCAAGATTTAGATTGATTAAGTTTTGCATGACGGAAAAAGTGGACTAGTATCTCTTGTGTATTGGTGAGAATTTTCTAGACTAAGTTGTGGATTGATGCACTATCTTTGGTCCTAGTTTAGGAGTTCATGTCTCTGAGATTTGTGCATCCCCTATTTTTGTTTTCACTTAACCAGTTTAGGCTTTTGCTTTGTTTGAGGACAAACAAAGGTTTAACTCTGGGGGAGTTGATAACACTGTATTTTGACCACTTTTATGGATCGTTTTGAAATACTTTTTCTATGTTTTTAATTGCTTTTAAGTACTTTTATTACGTTTTTCTAGTATTTGTAGTTCCAAGACTCTTTTCAGGAAACTTAGGGAAAAGCTTAACAAAATGGATAGAAAACCAGATTTCAGCTCAGAGTCAAACCGTCAGAAGTTCACCCCTGATTGAAGTCCTTCTCACCGTCTGATCCAGCTCAAATTTGGAGACCTTAAAGATGGAAGTATCAGCTTTCCAGTGCACTTTACAGCTTGGCAATCCAACGGTTCAATCAAAAGATACGCGAAGAGCAAGATATCCTGTAAACCAGCCGGCAAGCACTTCCACCCGCGGCCAAACACTCATTCCCCACGGTCAGAAGCATCCCGACCGCGGCAAACCACTCATTCCCCACGGTCAGAGCACTCCCGACCGCGGCCATCAACCTCCGAGCCCAAAAAGCCCATTTCTGAAGCCCACATTTGGAGAAACCCTAAGTGACGTCCAGAGAGGTCTTGAGCACTATAAATACATGTTTTAGGAACCCTAATCGATAATCTGAGACAAGAGAACCGAATTATTTACTTCATACTTTTATTGTATTTGCTTTAGCTTTTAGGGAGAGAGAGATTTGTTCTCTTGAACCCTTGTTCTTTCTTTTTCAATTTCGGTTTCTATTCTACTTCTTAATATTATGTCTTTGATTTCATTCATTATGTCTGAGGAGTTTTATTGTTGGGATTAAGGGATTTTCGATGGGGATTTATATGTTCAATGAGGATTCCATGAGCTTTTGAGCCGAATCTTAGAACTTTTTCTTCTGAATTCGTTTTTACTGCATGAGAGTAGCGTCATGAACTACAATCTGATCCAGATGCTTGGTGACACGAAAGTGTTCATCAGGTATCAGATCTAGTTTGGGAGAGCAAAACAAACATAGGAGTGGAAACCTACCTATGGGCGATTTGTGAATTAGGACGAGTCTTAAACATAATGCATCTCTTCTCTTCCAGGGCCAGAGTGGAAACCTACTGATCAGGGTTGAGAGAGATAATTGTCTATGATCACGACAGTGACGTATTCATACGTCCGTGACTCCAGTTCGAAAAGTTTAAGCTAAGATCTTATCAAATTTACTCTTTAGCAATGTTTTGAATCATTCGTACCCTTGAGAAAACTTCCCTGAACCCCAGCGCTTTCTTTCTTATAGATTTACACCGATTTTCATTCAAGCTTTAGTCTAGTTTATTTACCCTTTCAATCGATTTTCATTTAAGCAATTAGGTTAGCCGTTTTTCTCGTTTTCACCCGTTTTCGTTAAGTTTAGTTATTAGGTCATTTTAATCACCGTATTGTCTCTTTAGGATTCGTTTTTACATTTTAAACACACCACCAAAACCCTCACAAAACTCGCCTAGTTCTAGACTTCCTTACTTTATATTTCTTTCGAAGGCTTTCGCAGGAAAGATCCTCCTTCCCAGTGGATTCGATCCCTAAGCACTACAATCGATCAGCTGGGCACTTGCGGCTATTGATTTCATTTAGGGTAAAACTTGACAACCCACGACACACACCACATCAGTGCTCAAACGAGGTGAATGTCAGTCGTTTGTTTCATCAGTATAAATCGGAGTTCGATAAACATGATCTAGCTTAATAAGGATGACACAGTTTCTTGCCTTATGCTCAGATCGAGATATAGAGACAAAGGGATTATAGGAATAAATGATTCCAATACAAGTGGGAGATTGTTGGGAATGTCCCGAAACATCTGTACTTCTCTAGTTAAAGTCGTAACGTCAAGGTTTGACAATCGTATAATATTAGATGGTTATAATGTTTTGCTAGAAGCCGCTTATAATCTACAGATTATGAATCTGTTGCTAATATTATACGATCTTACAGGGTCACACACCTAAGCAAACTAAATCGATAATATGTTGGGTTTGAGAATAATATAAGTTATATAAGATATAACATGTAGTTCATATATATATATATATGTGTGTGAGATAAAGGAATAATATATGTATGCTAGATAAAGGCACACACGTGATGAGCAAAAGATTAGCCTTACGTAACCGACTCTTATTAAAAGAGTTTGGCCTTTGGCCCATTAAACGTTAATGAGTTTGGTCAACATGATTTCATTATATAAGGATAAAATGAGATGTTTAATCAGTGCAGTCTCTCACGTTAAAAAACCCTAAATATAATACAGAGACAAATAGTTTGTCAAGCATTGAGATCTGATCTATACGGCACTAGCATCCCGTCCTGATCTAGTTTGTGTGCGTGTGGATACCGGTAGAGGTACGACGTTTGGAGTGTTATACAATCTTATTTTCTGTTCATCTTTCCGCTGCAGGTATACTTTAAATCTGATGACTTAGATTCAATTTACTATTTGCTTGAGATCTTGGAAATTGAATTCATAGTTAGTTTTATAAATCCCTATAAACCGTATGAATTCCAACAGCCTCAACCAAGTTGATCTCTTCCTCAGTACTTGCCGTAATGTGTGTGAGTGTTTTGATTGAATGATTGGTTTCTTTATTGAAACATTTACTTTAGATATAATTTGTAATGTTGAGTTTCAGCCTGCAGGTCCAATATCGTTCTGTTTTTGCAGGTAGGTTGGCAACATCGATATGCTGGTCACAGAGGTTTCGAATGGTTGAATTGTGTGAATCCTCCGAAATCAACAACCAAAATTGTTTCCTTTTGGATTATCGCTGGTCCCCTATTTTCTTATTCTCATTCTTTGTGTCGCAAGGAAAGGGAGAATGAAATTGGCGAACGAAGATGTCTACATTGATGCTACTCCACAGAAGATATATATAGAGAGCCCTATTTAATATTTGAGCCTGCCGAATGTATTTTTTCATGAGTATATAGTTTGATGTTTGGGGATGTTTCATGGTAAATTTGAAAGTTATGGTAATTTGGTGGTAATTCTCCCTCTATTTACAGGCACGTAGAGCACACATAACAAGTGGCGTTTTAGAATGCTTGGCTTTGTCCCATGTAGAGGCGCAATTGCAATAATCTATTAAAAATATTTTCGGGAAGCAATAACTTGGCAAAATGAGAAACTATTGCTTTGGAACTCATTTTTTTATCAAGATTTCTTTGAAAAAGGTTAGTATTGTTATAGATCTTAAACCACTGCTTTGTGTTTTATGATTTCATTACAATACTTTCATACAAACTGTATAATTTATTTACATGTTTTATAGTAAATGGTATCACTTCGTCAATTGAGACCTTTTCCAAACCTTGAAGAAATTTTAAATCAAGCAGTTTCTTTTGCATAGGTTACTTGATCATTGTAGGAGACAAAAAAATAGACATGAAGAACAGAAGTGAATTACTATCCGCGATGTCATTTGGTCACACGTACCAATTTAATTTTCTTGAAGATAGTTTAGTTTCTTCTGTGAGTTTCATTAGTGTTTTCTGTATATTGATCATGTCTCATTGATTTTGTAGTGCCAGCCACAGGCGGGGAACTCAGCCATAGAAACTGAGTATAATAATCATTGAAGTTTCTTGAGACTGGTATAGTTCTGATTTTAGTTTGGCGTCTACAAGTCTACATTTTTTTGGAATGTGTTTATGGTGTTTTGAAAGATATAGAGATATATGTATATAAATAGATTATTATACGAATTATATATATAGATATGACAGTCATATTTGTTTATGATCAAACTCTGATTTATCAACTGTTTAAGTTTAATTATGCTCTTCTATCTTTAATGTTGACAGTTAAAGGTTGTCAAATGTAGCATTGTAGTGGCTAACTAGCTTGACCCTTCTGATCTTGCTAACAAAAAAAAGACCAAATGAAGGAGAAACCGCTGCTTCTAAGAGATCAAGATCCATATGAACTTGATGTGGTATGAAAAATTATCTGCAATAACTCCAGCTATTTAGAATGATGATGTACATATTCTTACCGTAATTTATATTGATTACTCTACATGTGAACGTATAACCATCAATGGTTATTTTTGATCAGGCAGAGTCATTTACAAATGAGATATCAACAGATGCTGTTAAAGCTGGTCCTGTAAGAGATGCATCGCTACAAAATTAAGGTAATTCATGAATTGAAGTATGAAATCTGAGTCATATTATAAGACCATCACTTACGGATATGTTTTGTTTTTGTTGGGATGTGAGTTTTTTTTTTCTTTCTAAGAATTGGGATGTGTTCTGTATTGTGCTGAAACTTTGGAAGAATAATTGTCACTTACGGACGGATTTGTTCAGGTAATCTCTTTCAGAATTCAAACCTGAAACTTTTTAATATATTTCTTAAGTTGTTTCTAATATCTTCAGTTAAGATTTCAAAGTCATCGTTTGAATTTATACTTTTCATACAGGGGCTACGAAAAACTGTTTTGTGTTAAGATTGACAAGAAGGTAACATGATTTCAGGTAAATGGAGAACGCAGAAGAATTGGCCATGAAGAATGATTGGATTTGTCCCAACTGCACCGGGGCATAATAATCTGCAAAAACTTAAATAATTGCTAGAAAACTAAAATCGAAAGTCTGATAGATGTGAATGCCATGTCAATCACATCCTCTTTTTGTTAGAATAATCTCAAACCAGTTATTAATGTTTCTAAGTACTACCCTTTTTGAAAGACTCCATTACTTTCTTTGTATGTTAATTTTGAAATCCTGATGTATTCATGGCAATCAAAGTATGAAATCTGTATTCCTTTTGTGAAGAGAGGCTCTGTTATGATATTATTTTCTTCCTTCTTACTGGAATTTTTGAAGAGAGACTCTATATGATGGTCACATTTTTATAAATTGATTTTTTTTAAAAGTATATGAAAATCTTAAGGTAATTTAATTTTCAGAACTAAATCAGCTCCAGATCAAAAAGAACAATGATTACAGCTAATTTTGATTCTTATATGGCATTGTTAATAAACAAAAAGTTGGTAAAATTGAAAGTTGTACTATTTTCAAGCACAAGTACTATTGCAAAGGAAACTATTCTATACGAATATAATAGAATAACATACTTTACGATTTACATAAAATATATCAAAATACAACACTATATATTTACCATATATATTACTAATTTTACTATATTTCAGATTTGTGTTTAATTTATCTAATACAGTGTTCAATTTTTTTGAATTAATGTTCAAAATTTAGGGTTTATGATATAACTAAGATCATTTTGTTATATTACAAAATCAATTTGGTAAATAGAATAAATCTTTTGTTTTATGATTTTCATGTAAATAGTTTATTATTTTCAGCTAAATGTTTTTATATCTAATTGATAGATGATTAGTAGGGACTTTAACTTTAGGTTGATAAGATACTTTAAAAACAATTGTAGAAAATTTGACTTTAAAATAATGGCCGAGAAGAAAATCGAGTATAAGCAAGAGACAGATATTGATAATTGAGTTGAGATTTCAAACAGTTATAATGTATATTCATCGTACAGGTAAAAATCTACAAAATTAGTTTGCGCTTGCTGATGTATCATTTCTACAATTATTTCTAGGTGAAAGTTCCTCAGTCTTATAGAGAGATAATTAGTAGTGATTTATTTTTGGTTGTCATGATACTTATAAACAATTTTATAGAGAATTTAACTTCAAAATAATGAATAGTCATTTTTGAAAAAATAAGGTCTTATTTTGTTAGTTTTTTTTATAAAACAACATCATGGTTGAAACATAAAAGACGAAATTAAACTATATAAATTTTTATTAGAACTCTAAGAGTTTTATCATTTTAAATTTGATTGGACAAACTAGAATTTAAAGGTTTCAAAATAAAGTAAATGTCTTTTGAGTGTATGGTCTAGATATAAAATTAGAAAGGAATGTTCTAGATATAAAATTAGAAATGGAAAACTTATAAGAAGGAGTTTAAATAGAGTACTGAGTTTATGTAATAGATAGATGACGATAGTTGAGCTATTTGAACGGTTTTAATGTATATTTACCATACAATAAAAATCAAAATGATTAGTTTAAGCTTTATTTAAAATTTTTGTTCATATAATTATTTCCAGCTGAAATTCCTAAGTCTAATAGTTATATGATTAGTAAAGACTTTAACTTTAGGTTTTTAAGGTACTTTTAAATGTTGTAGAGAATTTGACTTTAATTAAAATAATAGGTAATGGTTTAAGAAAAAGAAGATGTTTTAAAAAAAATACAATCGCATAAACATAAAGTTGTAATTTGGCTGGGTGAATTTTTAGTAGAATTGTAACAATATGAAAGTGTTAAATTTTGATTTGGATAAAACAGAATTTTAAATTTTGTTTTTAAAAAAGAAAATTCTTCCTTTCAGAGTAAAAATAAAATAGAAGTCTTCATAATCTCACAAAAAAATATTCAAAACATTTAGAAATAATGTTACAAATTAAAAATCGATAAGATAGAGTTTGACTATAATCCCAAGTATAATCATAAGACAGGTGACGATAGTTGAGTTGAAAGTATAATCACAATACGAAAAAAAGTTTAAGCGATTAGTTTGAGTTTAATTTTACAAAATTATTATATATTTATATATCAAATATCACAAACCAAAACATATGCAACACTAAAAAAATAATTCTACTGCCATCAAATGCACGTATCAAATCCTACAAAAAAACATCCATAATCTTCAAATGTATTTATAACTAAATATATACAAATTCACAGTAATTAAATCAACGATAAGAATAAACCCGTGCACATCACGGGTACTATCCTAGTTATTATATATCATGGTTTTTATGCTTTTTGACTATGATATAGGTCTTATTTATAGAATCATTTTAGTGTTTTTTGAGTCTTTTGGAGTCTTTTCAGGTCTTAGGTATGTTTGGAGCTTATTTGGTGATTTTGGAGCACTTTGGAGCTAAATCAGGATCAAACTTGCAAATGACAAATCATGTGCATTGGTGTCGTTCGACACAATGGAGAGTGACGCTCGACGTTTGTCAAGGAAATAAGGAAAACACGATTTTATCTCTTATTTGAAGAAAGAGTTGGGTCCAGAAGTATCCAATGAAGCCCAATACATGTTTTTAATAATATAAATAGGATTTTTAGTATCTTTTCATAGAGACTCTTTAGATTTTCGAAGAACACATGTTGTGCTTTAGGCTTTTTGTGATTTTGAAAGCTTGGGAAGACAAGTCTGAACTCTGCTCGTTTAGAGAGAAGATTTCGAACCCCTTTACTTATTATATTTATCTTATTTTGCAATCTATTCAATCATGTGTGTTGTTTCAATATCCATGTCCGAGTAGTTAGCTTGTTAGGTTTAGGGTTCTCATTAAAGTTTTCTCTGAATGTTTGATTAATTGATTTAGTTAGGGTTCATAATCTATTTAGTTCTTCACCATAGGTTGTTCTTAAAGCTCATTTTGGATTAATCACCTAGAACTTAGATCTTAGGTTGCTTAATTGACATGGAAGTGTAATTGAATAACTGGAAAGAACCTAGGGTGAGAAAAGTAGCTATTCGCAAAGGAATTTGGTTTAGATGCTTTGTGAACATATCGAACTTGAGCATTAAAGCTGGTTTAAATATTTAGGGTTTGCAAATGAATTTTGAATTCTAGGATTTTAACTCAGATAATTCTCACAACGGAAGTTGGTTAATTATAATTGTGTGATTTGATTTCAAGAACAGTGCATAAACCTGAACCCTGACTAATCGATTGATCTGCATTCTTTGATTTCCTGAGAAACGTCCTAAGCCTAATTTCCATCCATTCGAGTTTAACAAACGCTGTTACTGTTTTCCTACTGCTTTGTTATTTTAATTTGCATTATTTTGCTTAGCGCAATTCAATTTCAAAAGGTTTATTGAGTGAATTTCTCATCTATGTGGTTCGACCCCTGCAATACTACAACTGCACATATGTGCTATTGCAGAGTAGCTTAGAGATTAAACTTTGAGCAGATCAAGTTTTGGCGCCGTTGTCGGGGACTTGATTTTGCCATTAAACCTTAGTTTTTTAGTTTCGACTAAGTGTTTCTTATTGTCACGCGACACTACTTGTGGTGTTGCTCAATACCTTTTGTTTTTATAACCTAATTTACTTATTTCGTTTTTCTCTTTTTGTTTCTGTGTTTCAGGTTTATGCATACTCGCGGAACCAGAAGCAACAAAGACATCCCGCTAGTGAATTTGAACTACAAGGAGCTAGCAGAGTTAGAGCAAACGAACAGAAAAGCAAAGAAACCGCCAGAGATGGAAAACGCAAACGGACTTGTTCGTGATGATGCTGGCATCTGGAGAGACTAAGAGGGTCATGTGTGCAATGAGAGAGGCCAAAGACTTGATGGAGATGGAAACATCATCCCACCGGCACCTTTACTGGTTGATGTTGTTAACGCAAATCCACCACCTGCACCGCGTGGTAACACCGCAAATGCTGTGATCGTTCCAAATCAGAGGAACGTTACGATCAGAATGTGAGGGAACCTGCACCTGCAGCTGCTCGAAGAAGAACACTTGGAGATTACAACAGACCTGAGCAGTTCTATGCAAATTGGTCCACGATTCGCGCTTCTGCGTTTCAAAGGAACGATTTTGAGCTGAAACCTATGTACTACACTCTTGTGGGTCAGCATCCCTTTCATGGTCACTGATGATGATTATCATGATGATTAATGTTCTTGGTAGATAACTAAACTCAGCTTCGAGATCGACTACTCCATAGTCTTCTAGAACCATCGTTTCTAACTCTGCGAGAGTCATATTTAATTCAACAGTAACTAGCCTAGCTCGTTTTTCTGCATTAGCCACAAAAATCCACTTCATATCTGTCCCTGATTTCCATGAATCACAAGTCACATAGATATGTAGCATGTTTGAAGCAGAAGATATGTAAACTTAGAAAAAATCTATTTGATCAATGTGAAAGAAGAAGAAGCGAACGATGACAGCCAAAAAAAACAAAAAAAAACATCAAAAACTGATAAAAACGTGCAAAAAAGAATTAAATGATTTTTGAAATGTTTTAGATCTGGGAGTTAACTAATTTTTCAAGATTTTCTCAGATTTTGGTTGAATATGTATTCTACGTTAATGTAGAATAAAGTCAATAGGTAGATGAACCGTTCTACAATAACGTAGAACCTGGTCTAATAGGTAGAAGATGTATTCTACCAACATGTAGAATATAGTCTATCCAGTAGAACTTGTAATCTACCAATCGGTAGAATATATAAAGACCTATAGAAAATGATTTCTACAGGCTGGTAGAATATGAGAAGAAATATAGAAATGAAATTTTACGTGGACGTAGAACATAGAACATACATTCTATCAAGCGTAAAACGAATTTTAATAATATTTTAAAAATATTTTTTTCATAAATGATATACGAAAATATATTTAATTCCTTTTTAGGTATTTTCAAAATTTTAAAAATACATTTTCAATTTTTTTTTAATTATACTGTCATAACTGATTTAAAAAGGCAACTATGTCAAAAAGTGACAAAAGAATAGAAAACGTTAAGGGGACAAATGTTAATTCTATTGACATTATAAAAGCAATTCTCCCTTAGTTTTATTTATTGTTGGTCATTTTAATTTTGATAAATGAGAGGATTTTAAATTCATCATGTTGGTTTTCGTTTCATTATTTTGGTTT